TCTCCCATTTGCGGAGCACAGGCTCCGGACGCGCAGGCTCAGTGGCCATGGCTCACGGGCCCAGCCGCTCCGCGGCATGTGGGATCTTCCCGAAACGGTGCACGAACCCGCGTCTCCTGCATCGGCAGGCGGACTCTCAACCACTGCGCCACCAGGGAAGCCCCATTATATTTTTAAAACATATACAGTACTATGCTGTAATGCACTTATGCATGTAAAGACTTTCTCATGATAAACAAACAGGATCTGAAAGAAAAATGAACTCCCACTTCCCAACTTTTTATGAGAAATGCTTCTGAGGACTCTTCCCAGTGACCACGATTCCCCCAAATACTTACGACTCACAAGGAGCTTTTGGCCAATGGGTTCAACTTTTAATTCATGTGTGACAGGATTAAAAGCTGCACATTTATATGATCCCTTGTCTTCTAAGGATACATTCAAAATCTGAAGATTCCCTGATGGAAGGATTAAGTAATTCTCTGAGGAAGGAAGGGAATGCAGTTAGGCCTCTCTCTTTATGAAGGACACAAGTTAAAACTAACAAAGGTTGGTAGTTATGCTTTAAATGTAGACGTGACATAAGCAGCAAATAAGCAATCAGGGAAAATTCATTAAATGAAGGAAAAGGAAAGTCAAAGCAGAACAAAAAAAGTCGACGGCACTACAGTAACAAAATCAAACCCATCAGAGCCCCAAGGCAGCAGATCACTCACTGAGAACACCACAGCACAAGAAACATATTTAGACAAAGATACAGTGACCGCAGCTGCCACTTTGGGCAAACCCCTGCCTGCAGCACTGACCACCCAGTAGCCATTCACGTCTTCATTCATTTCTTCTCAACAATACGTACTGAGACCCTATTTTCTGCCAACAATGGCCTGTGCACAAGTGATACAACAATGAAGCGAGCAGATAAAGCAAGCCCTGCACTCATGCTGCCAATGCTCCAATGCAGGAACAAGGTGGCAGAGAAAGGGACAAATGACAAACAAGCAAACAGTAATGCATATAACACAGTTATATGTATTATATAAAATGAAGCTGAATAAAGTGGACAGAGCAACACAGCATATCATTTTAGATAGTGCCATGAGGGCGATCTTCTCAAAGGAAGTGATATCTGAGTAGATTCCTGAATGAGTTGAAGGAGTGAGCCTTGGGGGTGTGGGGTTGTAATCATTTCTGTACTGTCTTCTATACTATGTTCTATTTCATACTGTAACCATTTGTCTAAACTACTCCACTTGACTCCCAGTAGTAGAGACGATATATCTTATGTATTTTTGTGTCTACAGCCCCTAGCACACAGAGCTTAATGGTAGTTGGTTAATCACATTTGTTCTCTGGGTGCCATTGGCTTGTCGTCAGAGGTCTCACCTGTGGAATGTTTCAGCCACTTTCCCCGGATTTTATAGCGCACCTCAGCTTTGGGGTTACTATCTGGTACCTTGCAGCCAATGAAACCAGTACTTTTTTCTTCTGCTGTAATAACATGCTTTGTTGATGAACCAAAATCACCAAGAACTAAAAGAAATAAGTAGATAGATAAATAAATAAATGTAAATTTGAACTCTCTTTCCCAAAGGAAATTTTAAAACTAGAAACAACATCTGCACCATGGCCATTTGTGGCAGCTAATCCCAGTTCCCAAAGTAGCAGGATCTTTTTATCTTAGAAAGCAGTTGGGGTAGAGGTGCACAGTTGAGAGCTGGGGCTTAGTCATGGCACCCTTTTCCAGAAGACAATGCTTCCAGGAGACTACAAGGCAAGCAAACTGTTCTTAAAACATTAGGAAGAACTATAAAGCCTAATTGTTCCCATTCTGTCAAGATAAATCCTTCTTAATCCAGTCTCTCATCAAAACTCACTTTCCCTATGCATCCTTATTCTGTTAGTAGCTACTCACATGGCAATAAAAGGGTTTCCAAGAATGAACCTAGGATATCAAAAAAAAAAAAAAAAAGCAGTGTATCGTTTGAATTACCTGAATATACTAACTAGGTCTCAATTTCTCTCGGTTTAAGTTGACTACAGCTGGAGCCTGCATGGAAGGGCTCTTTATTATTGCCAGTGCTGAAAGCACTCTGCAGCCTGCCCCTAGGAATTCAGCCCTCCGGTGTGTGGCTTGGAGCTGTCCATGGGTCACAGCTCTACCAAAACATTTACTCTTCTCAGTTATGACAAACTCACTACTCCTGGGGAATCCAGATTTGTTCTGTAAATAGGGGTGCCCTCACAAAGACGTTTTCCATTACTGGAAGCCATCACCGTTTGAAAGGCAGATGGCTCAAACTTACTAAGAAAACCACACATAGCAGATTTTTCCATAAGTTCAATACTCAACATTCCTTTCTTTACAGTTATTTTTCTACCCCACTTCTTTAGCCTGGTTTCAATTAAATAAATGAAAATCACTCTGTAATCAAGGCAAATAAAACAATTAGATGTGAAAAAAAGATAAAGGACGGCATGAAATAACTGTCAAAGTGGACAACAGCTTTTTTTGTTGTTGATATTAAGGACTTTTAAATACTCACAAAGAAATTCAGATTCACGTTAGAAAATTGTCCTAACGCCTCACAAAATAATTACCATATCCGTTGATACAGAGGAAGACACTAAGCAAGGCTCAAGTATCGTCCCCCAGGTTAAACACACAGCAAGTATCAAGGCTGGGATGAGAACGCATACATGTCTTACTCCAAAGCCCATGCTCCTCCAACTACTCAAAAAAACGCAAGTATTAACAGTAATTTCAGGAAAAAAGCATCTATAACAGGGACAAAATCAGACTCACCTGCAGTGGATATGGTTGCAGGACCACTCACAATGGCGCCAATGCTATTGTTGGCAATGCACTGGTAATAACCCGAAAGGGAGGGGTTAAGAGAAAGGATAGTCAACGTCCCCTGATGAATCTTAATCTGTCCCACATTTCTGTCCAATCTTTTTCCATTATGCAGCCATGAGATACGAGCAGTCACAGGTTTAGCAGAACAATGCAGTACTACGGGTCCACCAAGTTTCTGGACGGCAGACAATGGCTCAGAAATAAAATAAGGTGCCAAGTCTACAAGGGAACAGTCCCCACGTGCAAAGGGGTGGGGGAAATGGGAGAGAAGAGGAGATAAGGGGAGAGAGAAAGAAGAGCACGTTTAATACACTTCATCTGAATCTACACAACGAAAGGCAATCCCTTACTTTATACGTTATGGTCCTTAGAGCTTGTAAGAGTTCTAGGAACATTCTTATATTTTGGAAGAAAGAAGGCAACATACCAAAGCAGAACTTAACAATTAGGGCAGCGTAGATGAGAATCCTTATGACATAAAAAAAACAAAATACTAATTCTATAAATGAGAAACGGTAAACTGCTCTTTTAACAAAGTAGCTTTTTAAAAATGGAAGTTAAGAATCTGAAAAAGAGAAGATGACTTTCAAAATAAAAAGAATTCTCTTGCATATTACCAACAGGATTTGACTTTAAGAGCAAATTATTTTCTCAAAATAATCTACTTCCCTTTAATATAAATAATGTTCAACTTTTAAGAACGCAGGAGTAGAAAGTTAGGAAGCCACACCGAAATACAAAGTCTATCCTTTGGGGGATATGAGGATAAACGGGGTATCAATCGTAATATTTTTATTTGGTGTTTGGAATAGTTTCATTTGTTATGTCTGTTCCTCCAGTAACTTGGGGGAGAGGGGTTCTTGCGCTCAAGTATCAAAAGAGATCCCTCTCCTCCACCCAAAACTGAGGGCGGGGGACAGGAATACTAACAATCTGGTGTAATAAAATAGTTAAAAGAAAAAAAAATAAATTGCTGAATCTACTTTTATAGGATATTTTACCAGAAATAAAGATTAAGGGAAATGCCTTGACTGAATCTGAGGTGGCTATTTAGCCAAAAAAAAAAAAACCCAGAAATAAAACCACTAAATCGGGCTACCCTGGTGGCGCAGTGGTTGAGAGTCCGCCTGCCGATGCGGGGGAAACGGGTTTGTGTCCCGCCCCGGTCCGGGAAGCTCCCACGTGCCGCGGAGCGGCTGGGCCCGTGAGCCATGGCCGCTGAGCCTGCGCGTCCGGAGCCTGTGCTCCGCAACGGGAGAGGCCACGACAGTGAGAGGCACAGTGAGAGGCCTGCGTACCGCAAAAAAAAAAAAACAAAAAAAAAACGCACTAAATCAATTTTCCCTTACTAAGTCGAGTATAGTTATACAGTATTTTTAACAAAGATAATAAATAAACATTACTTAATAAATAAACATCACCGTATTTGTATATACTCCTATATAAATCTTCACACATATCTAAAATAAAAAGAAATGCATATGGGCCATGAATTAGCCTCAGGCTTATATATACATTTAATAATAAACACATTTAAGCTTTTTAGTAACCCAGAGTTAGATAATAAATTAGGCAAGATCATGAGAGACCTGGGATTTGAACCAAGTTCTCTCACTCCAAGTTGAGTACTATTACATACGGATTCTAAAATTCCTCTTTGGTGGTGTGTAGTCAGCATTTTATTCCTATCATAATTTCCAAATTCAGAGATTTGTAACATATCCTCACTGAAAAAAAAGCATGTTTGGAAAATATTTATTTTCAAGGCAACAAAAGGAATAAATCATACGGACAATGATAGGAAGGCCTGCGAGTGCCCAGAAGCACTACTAAGAGATCCTTAAATTGCTTATTGAATCAAAGTTTTAAAATCATTCCACTGGTCAAACAAATCTTAGAAACGTCTTTAGAAACCATTACTATCGTCGAAGCATTGAAGTTGAAGTGCTTCATAGGATTAAGATGAGGGAAAGCTTCAGGCCCAAACTACCATTCTTCTCCTCTTACCTGGACTCATGGAAGAGCACAGCATCGGGAGAGTAACATACAGCAGTGTCTGTAAGGGTCCAGCAACTGGATGCATAGCGCCCGATTGCAGAAGCGGGCAGGACAGACTTCCAGAGCAAAATCCAGGCCTTGGCTTACTAAAAGACATCAAAAAAAAAAAAAAAAAAAAAGGAAGAAATTCTAAAGTACAAAAACAGATGGAATTTTTTATCTGAATAGCCAGAGTTATGAACACAGTAGCTGCACTCTATTTTGAAAGCTCTATATAGAGTGCGTCAAATACAAGGCATTTAATGATCCACATCTTCCCAATTCACAAGCTAATCTCTAGACGTTAAATTAAAGTTAGAAATTCTGCTCATTCTTCCAAGATAGTAAGACACTTATTTTACACAGAACCAGTCGTTCCAAATGAATATATAATGGCCTTTAGAGCCTTTCTCTTTGTACATCTCACAACCATCTAAAACTCAACACAACTAAAATGTGTTCCTCCTCTATGTTCCTTAAAACAGAAACAACAACAACAAAATAATAACTAACGTTTATATAGTGCTTGTATGAGCCAGACACCACCTCAGTGCTTTTCATATATTAGCTGAACCTTCATGACAAGCCTATGAGTTAGGTATTCCTGGTTTTCTTCCCTTTTTTCAGATGGGGGACTCATGGATTGTGCAGAGAATACCAGGGGCAGGCCTGTGTGGAGATCGAGTTTGTCTGCAGAAATCCAAAGACCACTGTGGTGAGAGTGGGATGAGCCAAGTAAAGAGCACAGAGGAAAGCCGGGCTAGATCCTGCCCAGCTTCAAAGGCCACGCTGAAGGTTTTGGCATTTATTCTAAATGCGAAGGCAGACCCTTGGAGGACTTAGAGAAGGGAGTGATGGGATCTCATTATGCTTTAAGAAGATCACTGGCTGATGGAGACTAGACTGGGGCCAGGATGGAGGAGGGAGGCCAAGTGGGAAGTTACGAGATCGCTGGGGAGAGAGATGAGCACGTGGTGGGTGAGTCCAGTGAGTCAGCTGTGGAGGTGCTGAGGAAAATCACCGGATTCAGAACATACTCTAAAGCTTAAACCAAGCTGATGAAGGCTTGGATAAAAAGTGTGAGAGAGGGTTTCCCTGGTGGCACAGTGGTTGAGAGTCCGCCTGCCGATGCAGGGGACGCGGGTTCGTGCCCCGGTCCGGGAAGATCCCACATACCGCGGAGCGGCTGGGTCCGTGAGCCATGGCCGCTGAGCCTGCGCGTCCGGAGCCTGTGCTCCGCAACGGGAGAGGCCGCAACAGTGAGAGGCCCGCGTACCGCAAAAAAAAAAAGAAAATGTGTGAGAGAAAGAGCTATATCAAAGACAACTCTTAGTTTTTGGTGTAAACAGGATAAGTAAAAGTTCTGTTTCCTGAAATGGGGAAGACTGGAGAGGGGAAAACGTCTGAAGAGGAGGCTGCTCAACAGCTGTGCTTTGGCCACGGAAAGTCTGAGATCTGTGAGGGATCCGAGTACCAGTAACTAGTCGACAGTTGCATATAGGAGTCTGGAGCTGTGCGAAGAAGTCCGAGCTGAAAATGCAGATGTTAGATGTACTAAAGCCTTGGCGCTAGATGAGCACTAAGGAAAATATGATAGAGGAGGAAAGATACTCCAACCTTTAGACACCAAAGAGAGGAGAAAGAAGTAATAATGGAGACTAAGAAGACGTAGCCAAAAAAATAAGAAGAAATCCAGGGGAATGTTGCATCTAGGGAGAAACATGGAAAGTATTTCTGAAAGAAGAGAGTAATCAACCCATCTCCAACACTGCTGAGAAACAGAGTAAGATCAGATGGCATCAGAAAGCCATGAACAAGACCATGGGTGACATAGCAAGAACGGTTTCAGTGGAGAAGGGACAAAAGTCTGATCAGTTCAGGATAGGACGGGAAGGGAGGAAATGAAGAAACAGGCACAGAAAACTCCTTCAAGGATTTGCTATAAAAGGGCAGCAGAAGAACAGAGAGAATTGCTGGGGATGGATGGATGGCAGCCATGGAAATGTCTGTTTATGTGTTTTTTTAATATAGAGATAATATAACACATTTACAAAGCTAAAAAAAGTTTCACAAAACCCAGCACTGGTAAGGATGTGCGTAAAAATCACTATAATATCTCGTTGGTGAAATATAATTGGTAAATTCCTTTTGGAAGGAAAATTATTCATTTATGCAACAAATATTTATTGAATGTTTATTATATGATGGGTACTATTCTAAGAGCTGGAGATAGAGCACTTAAATATATATATATATATAAGTAAAAATAAGTAACAGACAAAAATGTATATCTTACATTCTGTGGGAGAGATGGAAGATAAACAAGATAAATAAATTAGGAATATTCACAAGGTCCATGCCATCCTCCAGATACGATTCATTCCTTCTCTGTGTTACTTCTAAACCTTGGTCACCATCTACCACTGCACTCACTACTGTGTTCTGCGATTTATCTGGTTACATAACTATGTTCTCTTTGAAGGCAAGAATGATGTCATATTCAACTTTGCAAATTCTAATGCCTAGCAGAAAAAAGGCACTTGATGTTTCTTAAAATGAAAGGAATACCTTAATGTAACTTAATTCCCAGAAGTACCTTAGAGAGTAGTATTTAACGAGAACTGTTATCTCTACTGAATTCAGTGTAACCTAGCTATATTTTTATTCCTTCATTCACTTATTCATCCATATATATGATTTCAAAAATTAGCAAACATAAAGTAAGTGCCTACTGTATGCCAGGCACCATGCTAGGCTAGAGATCCAAAGAGTGGTTATTATGTCGACAAATTCTCCCCTACATTCCACAGGACACAGAATCTGACTACAGAATACAACAAAATGTAATGCCAGAGTTACATTAATGACATTTTAGAAATGAGAATTCTACGTGTGTACTCATCTGTGAAAAGAAAGGTTAATTCTAACCATTGATAAAACTGGGTAGTAATACAAAGTAAGGCACCTTAAGTATGGCTTTGAATAAATCAAATATTTCCCAGGATCTGCTCACTTCTCTACACCAGGTACTCCAAAATCTCCAAGTTGCAAACTCAAGTTTATCTACATCGTGGACTATCAGGTGGAGGAATGCCTTTTAAATGTTTTCTTGCTGAGCTCTTTGTTTTGTTTTGTTTTTGCGGTACGCGGGCCTCTCACTGTTCCGGCCTCCCCCGCCGCGGAGCACAGGCTCCGGATGCACAGGCTCCGCGGCCATGGCTCACGGGCCCAGCCGCTCCGCGGCATGTGAGATCTTCCCGGACCGGGGCACGAACCCGCGTCCCCTGCATCGGCAGGCGGACTCTCAACCACTGCGCCACCAGGGAAGCCCTTGCTGAGCTCTTTTAAAAGTGGGAGGAAATACTCTGGTACCACCCGCTGGCAGAAGGGGCCACAGCTGTGTGAAAACGTTTTTGGTTTATTTGAATTCTTCCCTTGGTTCAAGGGTAAGAACTGACACACCATTGCTAAGCAGTCACGGCAGAGTAAACATTCAAACAACTTGTTAACAGGAGGCACTTTCCTGAGGACAAGGAAGAGAGTTTCTTCCTTTTGCCAAATCTTTCCTCAACTATTTATTTATTGAAAAGCTGTGAAACAAATTCCAGAGTCAAATTTAACCCCAGCACGTGATCTAGTGAGTTACTTTACAGCTGTCCTTTAAAACATCACAGCTCATTATTGCTACCTAAATATTATCACACAGGAATATGCCTATCTTTCTATTAGGTTAACATGCTGTCAGTTGATTTGAGAGGTTGGAAAGAAATTATGACCCTCACAGTCACTGACTAAATATTTGTTGACTTGGTTTATATTTCTCTGTGGCAAGCCTGCTCAGCTTGTTAGAAAATTGTGATATGAATTCAGGACAACACCCTGGGTTCTGTTGCTCTGCAGGTCAGGTGGCTTGAAATTATATTCAACAGCCACCAAGAGCAACCTAGGTCCAACCTCACAAACAAACATCCCTGACCATAAGGAGGGTTAGATGATGTATAAATCAGAGTATATGCATTAGCACTGCTGGAAAGTTATTCAATACTGTCATTTTCAAAAGTACTATATTTGTCGAAAGAGGAAACTTCTTAATAATATTAGGGCTATTGCTACTTGACTAGTTACTGGAAAACAAAAAATATATTTGAACATACATATCTAACATCTATACATAAATATATGTGTATACTATAAATGTATATAAGTATATATAAATTTTATATATTTATAATTTATATATACATATAAATATGTATCATTTCCCTGCATTGCTTGCAAATGAACAATTTGTTTGGCCAAGTTTATCACACCTGAACAAGGTTCCTGCCATCTTCTCACACACAGATCAGTGGGCTTAACACGTATGTCATCTTTCTTACCCACAAAAATTTACCTTGGCAAGGGAGAAAACAGCCCTCATTTCCTCTGCATAGAAACTGTTATCCTATCCTCCTTTTCTGATCTGGAAAGAGAGGCCAGCAGAGAAAAGGTCCACAGTTAGAGGACACCAGCCCACCCCATCACACATCACTTGCCAAGGCTGTCTGACCTCTGTTCTAGCATACGTACCATTCAAATATTCTCATGTAAAAATTAAAAACAGAATTCGGATTTAAATCATATCAGATAGAACAGAATTCTGATTTAAATTACATTGCCATTTTTCAGACTGCAGTGTTTTTCTCATTTAGAATTTTTTTTAAGCATCCAATGTGGTTAACATAATGCCAGGTGACATTTTAAACAAAATATTCAAGGTTTTCTTTCACATATTCTACAGTGAATATGCTATTTTATCAAGTAGAAAATTGTGAACAGAAAGTTTCTACAAATACTCAATGACAAAGAAAATTACACATTTAGCATAAAAATGTGGAATGAATGTACAAGAAAAAGGAAAGTAAGCATGACAATTCTATCACCTAAAGACAACACATCAATATCTCAATCCATTTTCAACTAATCCTTTTCATATTGTGTATATTTACATAACTGAAGATCATAATATATATGGAATATAGTTTTAAATCCTGCTTTATTCATTCATCTAATGATCATGTTTATTAAAATTATTCATAAACGTAATTTGTAACAGCT